TCCGTGGGTGAAGAACAAACTGGAGTATGAATCAAAGCCCTCTGGAGAGCACTGGCCACTTGTGTATGCACACAGGGGCTGTCTTCTGCCCAAGATACCACAGGTCCAAGTAGGAAAGAAATATATTTTATTTATTTATTATTCTCCCTCTAAGGGCAGGGAGAGTTTACACGGAGGGCCAGAGCTGAAAGAAATCTGTGAGTTTCAGCAGTTTGTTCTCTGCTTGACTCTGGCAAGGGTTCCAGTCTGGCCAGTGGCAGCAGAAGCAGCAGTGAATACAGTCAATGCTAGATTCCTTCACATTTCTCTTTAATCCTGAACAGAAATTTGGGACTGAAACACAATGTAAGGGTTGTGTAAAGCTGAAGGCTTCAGAGGAGGCCTCTCCAGGTGCAGAAACAGTCAGGAGTTTCTAGACAGAAGCTCTGGGATTGTGAAAAGGTCAACTATGTTCATTTATATCCTTGTTGTTTTTTTTTCTGTTGTTGTTTTTTTACCTATTGTCATGGATTTTTACGATTTTTAATGACTTTTTTTCTTTCTAGGAACTGCATTAACTCTAATTACAGCTTACCATATCTCTGTTCATTATTACATATTTGGTGAGCAGACAGCAGGAAAAAAAAAAAAGGAGAAATTATTAGTCTTTTTATAACTATTGCCATGGTCATTAGAAGGGAAATGTGGTATTTTGTCTGTGAAGTTTGTCAGAATGAGGCTGGAGACAAGCGAGCAATAATGAGACTCTTGAAACCTGTCTGCAGGTGTGTAGCAGAGAAATAACAGGCAGGTGCAGAGAGTGAGTCTTTAATCAGAGTTTTGGCAGGGATCTCGTTCAGGGTCTGACGTTTGGCTTATGTGCCAAGGAGAAAATTCTGTAGCAAAGGACTTGGAATACAAAATGCAACTTTTGTTTGAGCAGAAATTTCTTTCTTTCTTTCTTTTTTTTCTTTTTTTTTTTTTTTTTGGTAATTTAATTTTCAGTTTGCTACCATCTCAGAAAGCTGAAGGCTTGTTCATAATAGCAGGAAGAAATGACTATGGCTCCTTGTCTGTCTGAGGATAGTTGGCTCTAATCTAGAGATAAATGCGAATGTCAACATTTTCCATAAATACTGCACTGAAAAAAAAATGTTTTCAGACAAATCTGTTTTAGCAACAGTTGTGATTTATTTTGGATTTCTTACCAGTAAGTAATTGAGCAGGTTAAGTAACCTTTGTGTCGCACTCAGGGACAATGCAAGCTCCAACACAGCACTGGAAATGAGTGGGGAAAAGGTATTTTTAACATAGCAGAATTTCAGTGATTTGTTTAATTAGTGTATATCAAATTAGGACAAAGAACAGAAGTATCAACATCTGTGCTCTGGGAGATGTGAAGGAGAAATAAGCATATAGCAAGAAAAAAAACCACCTTGCTTCATGGGGCGTATAGAGGTGAACAGAGCATATGAGTGGTCCAGAACTGCGATTTCCACAAAGCATCTTAGTGCTCTGAAGATGTGCACTGAATGACAGAATTGCAGGAGTTGGAAGGGGCCTCAACATACCATCGAGTGCAACCCCTCTGCTAAAGCAGGTTGCCCACAATAGGTCACACAGGTAGATGTCCAGACAGGTCTTAAGTATCTCCATAGGAGGAGTTTTCACGGCCTCTGTGGGCAGCCTGTTCCAGTACTCTGTCATCCTTACCGTAAAGAAATTCTTCTACATGTTAGTACAGAACTTCCTATGTTCAAGTTTTAGGTCATTACTCCTTGTCCTATCACTACGCACCACTGAGAAGAGCTGGCCTCATCCATTTGCCTCCCTCCTCCCTTCACATGTTTATAAACATTTATCAGATCCCCCCGCCGTCTCCTCTTCAGGCTGAACAGATCCATGCACCTCTGAATCCTGAGTTGAAGCAGTACTTCTTCCTGACCTCCCTAGCAAAGCTGTCCTGCTCTGTCAGTCTTTCCTATGAAAAATGTTAACCCTCTCTTTTTCTCCTCTCAGTTGCCTCCATTTAACCTGGATAAAATGCCAATTTCAAACAAGAAGTAGTTTTGTTTGAAACTAGGGCACTGAGAAAACGATGATTAGCTCAGACTATAAATTTGTCAGAAATTCTGAACATACTGAAGAAAGCTTGTTTGTCCAGCCAAAACTTACCTCCCAAGCTCCATGGCTGAATTTCAGTGAGCATGATGCAGATGCACTGGCTGTGGTGAATGCTCAGACAATATTATAGTTATTACCAATCACAGATTAGAGTTATTACCAATCACAACAACTTAATTAGTGACTACTCATTTTAAGAGAACTGAGAGACACCTGTTGACAATTTGTAAAGTGAAGAAGGATGAATGGCACTTTTCATTCATTTGGCCCAAAACAAATAGCACATCACAGTCTTCTGCCTTCACAAATCAAATCTGGAGCCTTTGCAGCAGCAGCAACTTGCTGAACGGAAAAGCCAAAAGCAAAAAAATTGACACTTGTATACCAGTGTCAGACCTCTTTGGATGCTTGTCATTTGCATCAGTATTTTTTCCATTAGTCCACAAATTCCATAGTTCATCATTTCTTAATTCTCTAAATCTTGACTGTATTGTACTACACTACTTGGTGTCCTGAAAACAGTAGAGCTTCTAAACCAGACATTTTCACGTCCTTCCCTTCCTCCTTCCCTCTCGTAAGAGTCTTCTGAGGACCAATGTCATTATGCTATGTTCAAATAAGAAAGTGGTGTTGCAGTTTCTTGCCATGGGGAATAGGATAGGGCCGAAATTTCCAATCTTGCAGGTCCTGCACCCAGGACTTCCACGGTAGGTGAGAGAGTGCCTTAGCTGGCAAACTGTCAGGTACTCGCTCAGGTGTGAACCTCTCTCTCTCTGCTACATTAAACTTTGAGGAGGGTACGTTGCAAGCTGGGGCAAAATTAAAGTGGCTATCTGATCAACAGGAAGATCTATAGCTCTACACTCATCATATAGGCATGAAACTCCCCGCATGCCTTACACAGGGGATTCTTGGAGCTGCTGTGAATTGGTCTAAGCAACAGGTAGTTCAGACCCCCTACATGTTTAAGCCCAAAGGGCACTGCAAGAATCTTCTGTGTGGTCTAGCATCTTTGACAATATTTGTAGGGGTTATACTTGTCCTTCTAGCTTGTTTGCAACAAGAGCTGTGTGGTCTTCACATTGTTCTTTGAAGTTAATGCAGAGTCAGGAGGACACAATTAAGGTTCAGGAAGGCTGATTTCAAGTGAACCTAGAGCATTTGGGAGGATAACAGGTCTCAGTGCTTGCTGTGTACTTAATGCTCAAAATACAGAAAATACATGATAAAATAAAGCTATGCCTGAAAAGTAGTGTGTGAAAATGTTATAGCTGAGGTAAATTTTAGCTAGCAAAACAGCTCTGAGGAGCAGGGCAGTAAAAGCTCAGAGTATCTACATTTTAGTTATACCAGGCTGGTGTGTCTTAGTATCACAGAATCACAGAATCGTAGGGGTTGGAAGGGATCTCCAGAGATCATTGAGTCCAACCCCCATGCCAAAGCAGGTTCCCCACACCAGGTCACAGAAGTAGGGGTTCCAGGCGGGTCGTGAATATTTCCAGAGAAGTATGCTTTGGGGTAAGCAAGAGAACATGAATATCCAGCCTAATCTGTAATCTAAAGTCTTGGAATAGTTTGGATTTTTTCATATTCAGCTGGTTAGGGTGGTAGGGCAAGGGGAAATGATTTCATACTAAAAGAGGTGAGATTTAGGCTGGATGTAAGGAAAGTGTTTTACATTAAGGGTGTGAGGTTGTGCAGAGGTGTGGAAGCTGTTCAAGGGCAGGCTGGGCAGGGCTCTGAGTAACCTGGTGGAGCTGTAGGTGTCTCTGTTTGTTTCAGAGGGGTTGGACTAGATGGCCTTTAAAGGGCCTTTCCAACTCAAATGATTCTATGATTCTAATATGTCTTTCAGATCCCTACTCTGCTCCAGATTTTCTAGCATATTATGGAAAAGTCATTCATCATCTCAGTGTTCCATATTAGATGAGGATTTCAGCACCACTGTAGGCCACAGAAGGCTTATGGGAGCTATAGAAGTTTAAAATACACTGTATCATATTATTCTTCTATTGCTAAGGTGAACGTAACCATCAGTCATATTCAAATTACTCAATTTCAGTATATAGTAAATGATAACCACTCTACAAAAGAAAACTTCTGGCAGGGTTAACTTATCACTTGTTCTCAGTTATCTCTTTTGCTCTATTCTGTTTGTCATGTGGACCACGTTAGATCAGAGTAGTTCCTTGATAAATTTAGGAGAAGGGAAGGTAAATTGAGATGTCCAGTGGAAGGTAAAAAGCATGCATGTAGTACAGGGAGAAGTAGATGCTATTTGCTAGCAAGGGTTGATTTTATCGGCAGAAAGGAAGCAATTTTATTTCAAGAATAGTATTGTAAGGATGCTGGCCCAGCAGTTTCAGACAGAAAAACACTGAAGGAATTAGAGTAAAATGGCAAACTTTCTACAGATAAACAAAAGTAAGACAAAAGTTAGCAGTAGCTGTTGAATTTAGTCTGAGTGCTGTTTAGATGAAGTTAAGAGGTAGAAACACTTCTGTAGCTACCCCATGCAGATTTGGGGGTTGGTTACTGTTCAAGATATACAACTCAAGCTCCATGAGTTTTCTGACCAGTGTTTAGGAGTATAGATGTATGAGTGAACATAGAATATTTTCCTCATTTCTACTTTAATTTGTCTGAAAAAGTCTCTCAAATGCTGCATCTCCTAGCCTGCTGATACAGAACATATAGTACAAAAACTACATTTTTTCTTAAGTGCAAAGTGAAAGCTTATATTATGGATTACTTTGCAAGTAATTATATCAATTATTAATTAAACCTGCTTAATTGATCTTAGCATAAGTGCAAAGCCAAGTATAATTATCAGTATTGATGCTGGAACAGTTCCATCACATGCTCTTCATATCTTTGTTTATCTCTTTTAGGTGATCTCAAAGAAAAATACTCAAGGGGAATTCGGGGACCAGAGGTTTAATGGTTGCGGCTTTATAATCTTTATCAGAGCACTGAGGCAGTAATAGGAAGATAGGAGTAATCACCTCCAAGATTTCTGTCACCTCAATCAACCTTCAAGGGAAAATCATCACAAGAGAGCCTCCGGTATGTCTGATTTAATCCATATTTAGAGAATGTTACATAATTTGTGTGATGTTAACACCTTGCAAGCTCTAGCCACAGGTCAGGAATTTGCTGTGATAAATAAGAAATGAAAACAAAAAGCAAGTCCTTTTCTAAAACAAACAAACAAACAAGCCATTCCAAAAGGGTGGTGTCTTATCTAGGTTGTTTTGTGCATGTTTGTTGCATTGCATGATTACATAAGTTCATGAGATGTGCAGTTGACCTCATCTTTGCAGGGAACTAGAAGCTCTGAAAATTGAGATAAATCTAGTTTTTTTCTGTGAATTAGGAAACTTGGAGAATGTACATGTCATTGTGTATCTAGGTGGCTTGAGTAATATATAGTGGTCATTAGGTCAAGAGGTGATGATTATAAAGAATCTGTCTTAATTATGCACTTGACAGTGTGTACTAAACACTGTAATGTGATACATTCTCATTCTGGACCCTAGTATGATAACTATTAACCTGTAGATTTAATTCGTTTTCATCTGTTTATTTAATTTTGTGGGAAGAGATTGGAAAGATTTCAGAAAGGTAAATATGACTGGTGTTCTATGAGCTTTGCAACCTTGGCCATATTGGTGTTATACTGGAGCACGTTAGGGAATATGGTCCTTCCTAAACTGCAGAATTCAGAGCTTAGTTGCTGTGCCTCTGTCCCTGTTCGTCTAAAATAGAACATGAGCTAATTCAAGTTGTGGCCAGCACCAGCAGAGAGGGAAAAGGCGGTTCGAAGTATCAGTTCTGCTGAAGCATTATCTGTGACTGTATACTACATTCCCTGTACTAGCCATCTGAAACAGATGTCTGCTTGTATCGGGACTGTCCATGTTGTTAGTGAGGTTGCCGTGGAAGCATGCTTACTGCACAGTTGGCTGGGTATTGCACATCTGGTCAAGGTCTTGAGCTTTATTTCTCTTTTGCCTGGTTTGGGACTTCAGAAGCATATACTCATATTAAGCCCAGGGCTGTCTTTGTTCCATGAGGCTGCCCCAGCTGGAACCTGTTGCTGGTTGACACACTAAGATCTTGTGTTGAGACTGTTATATTCTTTGGCATATTACACTGCATTTACATCTTTTAATTCACCCCAGCAAACAGATGGGTTGTTTTAAGAACCATGTGTAAGAGCTTTCATTAAAACCATTAAATGACACCAGATGGGGATGCAGAATACTGCAACAGGGCTGCTTACTACCATGTTGGACTTCTTGAGACATATTTGGAGGTAGAAGCTCTTGTTGCCACTATCCTTCTTTTCTGTTCTGTCCTAAACTCTGCTTGCCTGCATTGCAGCGACGCAAACATTACTGGCAAATACATCATCACTCACTATGGCAAATATGATTTTGGTAGATATTTTTTACAACAAAGAAATCTCTAATTAATTTGAAACTGAATGTTTTGGTGCTTTTTTTTCTCGTAAATGTCCATTCTCAAGTTTTGCTTTTAACTAAGCAAAAAAAGCAAACAAACAAAAAATAACTTTGCTGAGGATATTCACTGCCAGAGTAACTTATGAAATTGCTCCTTAAAGTGCCACTGAGGTGTTCTCAGGTGTTCTAGCTATACTAGCACCTTAAGTATACTAGTTCCTAGAGAGCATGCCAATGGCTTTAGAAGGATAAGAGGGATAAGTTTCAGTAAGAAAGTAGATTAGTAGATCTAATGAATCTTGACCTCTTTGATTGAGATATTTAACTGAAACTGATTTTAAAAATTTGTTTTTGATTTGGGCTGGAAGTCTTGTGAAATAGATCCTTCTATTGGGAGTTTCTCCAGCCACTTCACAGTTCCTGAAAGAGTGAAAATATCTTCCTGATGGTATGACAGTTGTTTGGTTCTTCTTATTTATGCGTCTAGCATCTGCTGGAGTGACTACAATACTGAATAAAAACTTCATTGTATTTATTACAGTATATATATTGAATAACAGAATTCCTAAACAATTAAATTTTAGAGCCGTTGGAGGTCAGTTTTTTCAAAGTTTAACCTAGAATTTAGGACACATTTACAAATATGGAAACAGTTCATTTTTGTCAGATACCAGTTTATCCTTTAGGTAAATACACAATGTTTTACTTCAGTCTTATAAAAAGATAATATGTAATCATTTGTTATGAAATTCTTATCTGAAAAGCAGCCTAAATTTTAAGAGATTTTTAGAAGAGTTAAGTAACGTGAAAGGAAACTAAACAGGGCAATTGAGGCCATGAATGAATGTGAATTTATTTTAGTATTTTCTGAGGGGAAAACATACTGCATTTTGGTTTAACAATGGAACCCCTGAAATCTGCTTTACCCAGGGATAGCACAGCAGTATTTTCCCATATATACAAAAATTTGCTTCAGATTCTTATATAACTTTATAGTAGAAAGCTTCATTATATCTTATTTATTGTAATGGATAACACAACCATTTGTTTATGCTGAATTCTTCAGATTCTATAAAGAAACCCCTTTCTAGTTGAGAAAAATTAAGAACAACTATTTCACATCCCTATCACAAATTAAAATTTAGTAGCTGAGCATTCAGTAAAACTGGAATTCTGTGAATTTCTTTAGCTGAAAGTCTGTTCTTGGAATAGAGATCAAATATATTCTTTGAATGAAATATACTGGATTTGTTTTTTGATATGACTGCAGTGATTCATTTTCAATCCTGTGATCACTCAGCTGTAATCAGCCATATGAATTGAGGGGCATAAAATGTTTTAAGGCAGTTGGTGAGTCTGATTGACTCAGTCTTTCCTACGAGTCTGGTTCACTGGCTGATCTTTCCCCTGTGTACCTACACTCAGCTGATTCTCCTGATACCTCATTTCAGACTAAACGTCCCTGTGTAGCCTCATGGGAGGCAAACTGCTCTGTAGATTCCAGTCTGGTACAAAGAGAAGTATTTAAATACCATTTGGTTCTAGCTCTATAATTTAATAAGTCAATGGACTTCTAGGTTTTAGCTTTAAATGAAAATCTTTAATGCATTTCAGAAACTTACTGTACTGAACTGTGCACTCTTTTTCAAAGCTAAAATTCAGCTCTAGGTGTCACCTATTTCACCCATCAGCATATTTGGACAGTTTTATGGCTCTAAATTTACTCTATTTGCTTCACTACCTGAAATTCCTGTCTTCAGACTAGTTCTGACAGTGTGGACTGAGAGTCCCAGCTATCAAGAGCACATCAGAGTAGATCTGCATCCATACAAGTGTGTAAACACAAAGACCAGCACTCAAGCCTTACCTTCTGGTGAACTCTGCCATTTACTAATTTATCCCTGTTCGAAGTTTTCTCTTGTGTTTCCCTTCTTCTGTGATTTCTTCCCTTAAAATCTGTGTGGCCTGGCTTCTAGTTCCCAACTGGAGCAATTTCTAGTGCAGCAGTTTCACCTTGAGCTTTGAATAAAAACCAGCAGGAAAGTCCCACAGATTCCTGGAACCCTGTTGTAGGAAGGAAAGAGGAATATTGCAGGTGTTGAGCTAATGTTATCAAGCTACCATAAGCAATAGAATATATTGATAAGAGAAAGCACTGTATTTATGATTTCTGGTATATAAAATAGTGCAAGTCCTGTTTGAATGCTTCAGAAATTAGTATCAGATGACTTAGGAACCTCTGGCATATTTGAATCTTAAGTGGTTACAGAAAGTTTTGCTCAGGTTTTCCTTCAGTAGTTGTATGTGTTTCTGTTTATTTGAAGGCAGGTTGGTGAAGTTTATGAATTCTCAGGAGAGTGGAAAAAATCCTGCTCTCAATGAGACCGAGCTTTTCTGAGGTCAGTGTGTGTCTATCTGTGTAAGCTCTTGCAGAAAGATTTGTCTGTTTGACTGCTCAGTCTAGTGTTGCTGTTATTTTACAAATACATGAGCATGGTCTTACTGCTGCTATGCAGACATCTGGCGAGGCAAAGGGTCAGCTTCAAATTAACATAGGTTTTGTCTTCAAATGTGGGTTATTGCATGAAGCACCTAAATGAAAACTTTATAAACAGTGGAGAAAACAAAAAAGGTAAAGTAAAAATGACCGCTAGTATGTTTAAGGCATTACTGTCACCAGAGCACCAAAAAAACTGTGGTGCAGAGATGTCTCAACAGCTCAGAGTATGTTTCCATGTTTCGTTGTTGTTTGTTTCCTAATTTGCCTGCATCTGGCCTGATTGCAAAGCCTGTGTCTTGATGGGCAAGCACTGCAGTGGGGACCACCGGCCTCCAGATGGGGCAGAGGAGCCTTCTGAGCTGCCCGCCCTCTGGCCTCACCAGGCTCCCACTGTTTGCAACATCCTTTGGTAAAGGATGCTCTTCTGCCTGCTCCTTGCTGTTATGGATTGGGTCAGTTGTAGGAAAAGCAGTACTTTTTAATCTCCTCGAGGTCTCTTGAGTCACAGGGGAATAATAACTCACTGGGGTGGTTGGAGCTTGAGAGGGACTTGGAGTTTTATTTCTGTAGTTCCCTGGCAGTATCTTTTACCCTTGGGACAGGACGAGTAGGAGTTCCATGTACAACAGGAGCCAGAAATCCTCTTCTACAGGAACCACCCAGGCCAAAAGGCCTCCTTCCACACTAGTTCTCTGGGAGCAACTCACTTGTCATCCAGGGAATCTCTAACATAAGAAAGAGACCTGGTAAATGGTTTTCTTACTCGCAGACTCTCCTGGCTGCATTGCTAGCATTTCTACTGATCAAAAAAACAGACACAAAGGTGAATAAAAGTAAACAAGTGAATAAATCTTTGCATTTAGAAATAATGATGGTTGGGGAAATCCCCCTCCATTCATAATTATCAACCCTATCTTTTTCTACTTTGTGGGAATAATGATCTCATTCTCCTAAAAATTGTTAGCATATATAACTTTTCCATACAACTCAGCTTCTTTTACTCTAAGTGCAGGTCTTATGTACGGTAAAATTAATTGTATTTTCTTAAGTATTTCAATTTATCTGGTTTCCAGGAAAGCTTTTTTATCCTGTTGGATATC